GCGTATACCTTAGTCTCAACTAGCGACATCTAGTGAGCGTATACCTTAGTCTCAACTAGCGATATCTAGTGAGCGTATACCTTAGTCTCAACTAGCGACATCTAGTGAGCGTAAGATTATAAGCACCAAAATTCTCGCCTGATCTTTTGTCAGCTTTTATACTATAGCAAAACATTGCCTTCTTATAATTCCTAGAATATTGAAAGTCGTTGCCACTTTATCGTTATGAAAAGATTTTTAATATAGTATATTTTAAGTCGATTTCTATTTAGGAAATAGAAATCAACTTAAACGAATAATTTAAATCAACTTAAAATATTTTAAGTCGATTTGTATATACAATATTAAAAAACTATAATAATAAAACTAAAACTATTATTTTAAATTATCGCAAAGTCCTACTGCTAGTGATATCGTGCCAAGAACGCTGGCTACGTTTTTTCGCTGAATGGCTATACTTATCTTTTGAGCGAGAAAATAACCAGTCGTCTTATCACCTGTACCGTCAACCAGTCGCGGATGGAGTTCCTTTAGGAACTTCACCGCACGTGGACCCCACACAACGATAGTGTCTACAGCAAATGGCACAAATATTTAGTCATCTCTTAGATACTCATATTCGCGCCACTTACTTAGTTCAGTTGCCTCTGATACCGCCCGGCTCTAAACGCGGTACCATGAGATGAGAGACCGCTGAAGTGTCTACGCAAGTACCATCCCACACTAGGCATTTACCTCTCTGTCTCAAGGGACTTCTGTCATACCATCGGGTCTCCTAGCATCGTCTCTAAATATTCCACGGGACTCTGAAACCGAGGAAACATTAAGTTTATAAAGACAAGAACCCTTCGGATGATATCGTTCAAAGAACCGTGCTGTGAAATCTACCATTATTTAATGATTTCTTATATTTACGCGAACACTACACATTTAAATAATATTAGACAGATTTTATCACGTATATTTAACTTTTTAAAATACCCGACGTTTCGAGCACTTTACCCATGGTCACGGGGGAGACTGAAATGTTCAACGTCTAGATGTTAGTTTTATGTTAGTTAACCGCAGTTACCATACATTAAAATTATTAAGTTTTGTTCCGATCTATGCAGTACGAACTTATAATATCTTGAAGTCTTGCAGTTGTATGCTTGGGTTGGGTTTTAATTTTACTAATTATCTATAACAAGTAGATGGTAGCACCCAGACACCTTCTCTATTGAAATTAGGATGTTTTTTTGATTTCAATAGCCTCGCGGATCATCCTTGGAAGAAATCGGTGTTCAATCTAGCGATGAATTCGGTCTATCAAATCTGATGTAGTGACGAGGGCGTTCCTGAACGTGTTCACAGATTGCAGACTTCCCGAAGCGTCGATTCTTCATATCAGCTATATTTTCTTTATCCCGGGTTTTAATTGATCTTTTAGTTTGTCCTATGTAGGAGAGACCACATTCACAATCACGCGTATACACTCCTGCGTCTTGCAGAGGGACGTTACACTTGATTGATGGTAAAAACTGACCAATCTTCTTCGGCGATTTGAAGTATGTTTTAAGGGAAGCGCGCTTCAAGAAGTAGCCAGTCTTGTCAGTAACTCCTCTAACATATGGCAATATAGCAAGTACACGCTCGACTGTAGCCGTCTTCACTCGTTCACTGTAACGTAGGTGCGAGACCCGAAGCTTGTCGTCATGCAAAACTTGCTTGACGTGTTGGAGCTCGACAGCCAGGTGTTTACTATCACAGATCCCTCGTGCTCTCTGAAAGAAAGATTTACCCACAGTAGCTAACCGTGAAGGATGGTGGTGAGAATCACCGATTAAATATATATCTGTATGGGTCTTTTTTCTATACACAGTGTGGCTCAAGGTGTTATCAGGATTCCGAATTACTAACACATCTAGAAAAGCTAAATAATTGTTTGCCTCTAACTCCATTGTGAACTGAATTTTTGGAATTTATAGAGTTAAGATGGTCTAAAAATGCAGTTACATTATCTAAAGGTAGAATTGTGAAAGTGTCGTCTACGTACCGCTTGTAGAATCTTGGAATTATGGGAGAAGTAAGCAGTGCTTTCTCCTCAAAGTCTTCCAATGTCGGTAACAATGGGAGATACAGGTGAGCCCATAACCACACTATCTACTTGCTTGTAGAACTCCTCCTTCCACAATAGGTAGCCAGATGTAAGGCAGTATCTGAGTAATACTGCATATTCTACGGGCATGTTGTTTTCCTCCAGCCTTCTAGTTACAATTGAGATGCAGTCTTCAACAGGTAAGCATGTAAACAATAACTGCACATCAAAACTGACCATAGTTTCATTGTCTGCCAGATGTAGCTCTTTAATCACGATGACAAAATGGTAGGAATCCTTTATGTGTGCTCTTGTATGTCCCCTGAGTGGTAAGAGTATTTTCGCTAAGTGTTGAGCCAATCTGTAAGTTGGTGAATCGATTTGGCTCACTATGGGACTTAATGGAGCAATGGGCTTGTGTATTTTTGATAACCTATACAGCTTTGGTGATTTGGCGTACGTAGGTATTATCCATTTTACGTACGTTGTTAATATCCTTTCCAGTCCAGTAGCTTGAGAAAGTCTTCCAATGCAGCGGTGAAGAGTTTCGGGGATACAACGTCACCCTGTCTCACACCTTTCTGCAGTTTAATAGGTTTCGTACTCTGGTTCTGTACTCGGATAGCCATCGTAGCCCTACTGTACAAAACCTTAAGTACTTCGAAATACCGATAGTCAACTTGGCACCGCTGAAGGGACTGTATCACCGCCCAAAATTCGACGGAATCCAAGGCTTTCTCATAGTTCTCGTACGCAAGGCAAAGTGGCAGATTGTAATCTTCGGCCTTTTGTATAATTTGCCGAATGTATGTGGTCTATGGCACTAAAACCCTTTCGGAAACCGGCTTATCCGGGAGGCTGGAAGTCGTCCAGTCTGCTTGCGAGACGATTCGTAACGACCCTCGAAAACAGCACATAGACGCGGCTCAGAAGGGAAATCGATCTATAGTTCTTCAAAAAGGGCTTTAAGTACACCCGCTTTCCACCCGGTTTCAGAAGCTCCGCTGTCTTTCCATCCTCACCTGGGACCTTGCCGTTTTCAAGGTGCTGAAGAGCCATTCTAATCCCGCTCCAGACTGACGTCCATCATCGAAATAGTGTCGGATAAGACTTGCTCTTGAATCGTTACTCACACTTGCGTGTGGATCCAATGATGACGTGTTCAGCTGCCCATAAAACCTCTCAATATCACTCAAAATCTCAGGTATCCCGGAAACGATGCTGCGCACTCGGTCTTCAGCTTCGAAAGTTGGCTCTTATTAGCCAGACAGATCTCTGGCAAAGACTTTGGAGCCTTGGTTCCGCTCGATCGTTCTTCAATACGGGCTGTATTAAAGTTGCGTAAGTGCCGTATGCTGTCAAATCTGTTCAAAGTTCAGTTGCCTGTATGCTGTTAAATCTACTGAAGACTGCAGCATTATTTCACGTCTTACTGCCATGAGATTAAGAGTGTGATCAGAAAGTTTTGTGTACTTCTCAAGTATAGTCATCAAGTATACAAAACTGGAGACCCTTTCTGTTGGAATCGAGGCATTCCATCTTAGTCCTCAGGGGTGACAACGCATTTGCATTTTGATTCTTAATTGAGGATAAATGTGGATGTCTATGGGCCATAGCATCCACTTACCATCAGGTGGACATATAATAGTTTTTTTTTAGTTATCCTTACTAATGCGTATTTAATTGACTTTGACTAAATTGATCTCATTTTATTTATATTGAAATCGGTTGTACAAAATTTTTAATTTGACCACTTTAGAGTGAGATGAAATAGATCCTTAATTATTATTAAAATATCAACTTTTGTACTCTCTTGAGTAGACTAAGGAATATCACAATCATAATATCATCTAAATAGTAACATTCTCATTATCATCACAACTTCAACGCCTATTGTGACACTCGTGGTTGTGCAATTTTTTCTCCCAATTTATATGGACAATTCAATAAGAATATTATGAAAATCAAGATTCACAATAATTGCCGAAGATAACGCGTTACATACATATAACAAAACATACTATCTGATTGAAGTCGGCTAAAAAGTCGTGGCTTCAAATTGCACATTTGACTAATCTCGTGAACCACTCCTAGCACAAGCATTTAGGTAAAGCTTACTTCAAATGGTTAATGGACGTATTAGGAGTATAAACAGCATTGCTGATATTCTTTAAAAATAATAATCAAAAAGTACATAAGTTTCCGCCCCTAAAGACATACTCGTAGCATGCCTCTTTACCTGTAAAAATTTTCTCTATTTTTCATACCTATTTCACCTTATCAAACCAAACAGCATCATTATTGAATTTTATACAAGTGTTTTAAGAGCGTGGTCGTTATGGGCAAGCAAGTGGGTCTGCTCCACGCTCCACATTGAATCAAGATTCTGGTCCAACCCCAACTTGTGCAGATTCTGCAAAAAGTTTACGGTCCCTTTTTGCCTCTAACTCTGGACATTGAATACTGGACCCTATACTTAATAGACGATGAATGGACATAATTGAGATAATATTAAAACATAACTTCTAAAACATAAAAATTTAACACATTTTACAATTTCAATGTTATTTAATATTATAAACATCAATATAGGATTTTTAAATAAAAATAATGACTATCAGAATCAAAACCTAAAGTTTTCATGTTCTATTATTTCCATTATCTTACTTCCTATAGATAAAATCATTAATCAACACCTGCACAAATATTAAATGAATAGGTACAAAAATAATATTTTCGTAATATTTAAATTATTTCTTACTCAGTTATTTTTTTAAAGTTACCTAAAATTGAAACAATATAAAATTGTCAGTACTTTGTTTTATAAACACAATTTGCAAAATGCATAATGTACATAATATACATACAGTAATGAAGAAATTTGTTAACATTTATAATTGTTTGAACATAGCGAAATGTTTTCCTACGCAGATTTAGAGATCTTCGATTGGTGTACAGTATCGCTGGATTGCTTAGAGTGCTCAAGATGGCTCCTCAGGCTCTGGCTGTTGAGTTTATCCCTTCGGAGTGCCTGAGAACGCGATCTTCGTCTTCCCACGTCTGAACGAAGACGGCCTGCGCTTCGACGACGTTCCACAGGGCCTATAAATTACAAAATTAATGTTATAACTATTTTATTTCCACTTTGTCATTTTCAGCATAATTTTTATCCACGAATGTTTTTTTTTTTTTGAAGTGAAAACTTCTTTAGCGGCGTTGTACACTGTTTCTGTAATGGGTAAAAAATTTTAAACTCGCGTGACACTCCCTAACCATTCCAAAATATCAAAAATGCACAACGTTAATATTCAAGTTTTCACTTCTGCCGGCACTCCCGGAGTGCACCCGTCGTTTTTTTTTTAAATAGAATATGTCTAAAAACGGGCACAAGTGGATGTTATTGCCCATAGACATCTATATCAATTCTCGATTAAGAATCAAAATGCTGATGCGTTGTCACTCCTGAGGACTAATATGAAATGTCTTCTTTCCCATAGAAAAAAAGTCTCTAGATCACCACACTCACCATACGAAACACAGCAGCATTAAGATGTTTTGTCACACTGGTATTCCGTGAGAGGGTGATTCTTCCCCGGTCGAGCCGATCATTCATGCGAGAGAGTTTGGGCTTTACTGCCGACTGTGACAAGATCACGCTACCCGCTCTTATTAAAATCAGTATGCTATTTTTGAACCGCACTAATGCGTGACGAAAAGTACATTATTATTAAGAGGTAACACTAATGAATTAAACTGATGCGTTAGTTAAGTTTTGCGATACGTATTATTTATAAGAAAAGTCCAATGAAAAATTTTATCATTTCCGTCTGTTATAAAAAATAGTATGTTTCCAATATAACTCGAGAATGACTGGATTATTTTCTGCAAAGGACTTTAAAAGCTAAAAATATTCTCACAAAAAAAAGCAAACCAAACCAAGGACCAATCAAGGACACTTTACGAAGTTAAACATCGTAAAACTAACTCACCATCATTCGATAGTTCTGATGCATCTTTGCCTCTTCTGCGTCTTCTTTCCTTGTCACCTTCGAAACTTTCAAAGGATTCCCGACTAGCTCTCACCACCTCTTGATACTGCTCCATGTAACCCTGATTGAACATCGCATCCTCCAGTTTCTTGCCGAGTTTATTTTCTAGTGAGAAACCTAAGGACTTTGTCAGTGGGAAATCGTTCATATTTATGTTTTTTAATTTCGATGCACGAGCAAGGATATTGCTATTCTGTAAAGAAAGAAAATGAATTTATTTAAAAGTAAATTACACCTGGACTGAGGAAAATCTTTAGTAATATATTGGTATCCGTTCCAAAGTAAATTCACTGTTAATCGGGTTCAAAAATAATTATTTTTGTTGTTGATATACCTGTAACAATGCATCTACTCGTAGATTATTTTAATATATGCATAGTTATTTTTTATTTTACTTTGGTCACGTTCTTATTTTATAGGATAGGTGACAAACGAGCACACAGTACACCTGATGGTAAATGGTCGTTGTGGCCCATAGACATCTAAGTTTATCCTCGATTACAAATCAAAATTCTGATACGTTGTCACCCGCGAGGACTAAGATAAAATGCCTCGTTTCCAATAAAAGGGGTCTCCGGTTCTTTAAACGCACCATACGAAACACCGCAGCATTAAGCTACTATTTTACGCTGGTATTATGTGAGGGCGTGGTCCTTCCCAGGTTGAGCCGACACATTCGTGCTACAACTATACTACTAATATAACTGCATCCTGGCTCTACCACGTATAAATTTGGACTTCTTTACTAATTAAATAAGATCAGACAATCATATATCAAGTATTCTTGTTAAACAAACTCCACTGTTAATTCCGTATCATTTATTTTAAAGTGTGTTTTCAGAAAATCAAATATTATTTAAAGATGCTACTTTAGTATATTGATGACAATCTTCACAGCAAATAACCATTCTCTAATACTGTCATCTTTCTTTATAAAAATAAGAAACGAACTTATAGTCATAGATGGTAAATGGCTACTGAGGTCCGTGGACACCTGCAGCCATTTTAAACAAAGAAGGCTACAGGTGCTCTGTCACTCCAGAGGATTAAGTTCCATGTGAAGAATGAAAGAGAAATAGAAAGGAGGGTAGTATCTACCCAGACGGACTCCTAGGGCGATAAGAAGTCCTATCAAATCCACCTTAAACTATTTCACATTATTGGTTGAGACCGGCGATACAGAACAGCGTCAAAATCTACTACGATAAATAATACGCGTTATAGATGAGTACTTTTTACGGGCTGACGGAGAAAAATATTACACGTGCTTCAAAGGCCTTAATACTTTATAAATAGAATTCAGGTAATTAACAGATTCAGGCGTTACTTTGCAAAAATTCATTATATTAAATATGTTTAAAATTAATTAGCTATGATCGAGGTAATAAATATTAGACTCCGTAGTGACTGACGAGCCAAGGCTCGTGAGTCTTAGCGGTCAGCCAGTGCTGGGATTAGTGGTGACGGGGATAGTGCACGCAATTGAGGGAGGGCGGGAGGTGCTCTTCAAACTAGGTAAGACACATCGTTTTATATTGTCGTTTAATCGGCGTGGATTTGAAAACCGCATCAAAATCCTTTGCGTAATTTAAAAGATCTAAGCGTACAGACTGCGAGAGGCGACCTTGTTTTATACTACGTAGAGAAATCTTCAAACTTTATGGTTTCTTGTGTCAGACGTGGTGATTGGCACTTTATGATTGTAAGAAGCGGATAAAAATCTAGTTTATCTAAGCCCACAGGGGTAAAACCACAGAAATCGTAATAATAAGACTATAGAAGTCGCATAGACGCGTGACCTTGTCGCCGCTATGATGTGTTGACGAACATCATTCACCATTTTGTGATTTAGCTGCGCGGGGAACGTCGTACGTGAATTTATGTTATGAATTATAAATTTATGATGGTGAACTGCAGCATAATCAGTAGTAAAAACTCATCAAGGACGTGTAATTCAACTAATAAAGGCATAACATTTCATCGGTAAGTTAATATTTACTAATTATCAGTGTTTTAACTAATTTACACCTAGATGAATTTTAATTATGATATTTACCTTTATAAACTTTCATTTATTACTTTTCGTACTGTACAATTACCACTGCTGCTTTTGTTTTACCGTAATACGCGACGCACGCGACGTTGACAAGCTCGCCAAGCAATGTAATGTGAAACATTAGATATCATTGTGCATTGCGAATGTTTATCATACGGCAAGTTGTGGCGACGTCGGTGTTTGAAGTAATCGTGTTATTTCTATTGTCTTATTATTACCATTTCTGTGGTTAAAACTGCAGTTTATATTGATATAATGGATATATGTTTATATTAATATAATGAATATGAACCAGCGACGACTCACTGAGTGCAGTAGCTAAACGTTTATCTGCGGCGCTGTGGGGTCACAGGTTTGAATCCCACACAAAACCAATACTGGCATGGCAGGCAATTGTGGTCTAAATTGGGGTCTGGATATTATCCAAGTAAAATGTTGATGAAAATCCTAAAAATATAGGAGATAATCCTGGAGTAAAGTTTTTTTAATGGTTTTATTAACGGTATGTAATACCGATATATTTTATAATGTTGATGGAAGTAACAACTTATACAAATGCTGCACCAGGGCACAGGCCTCCTATTTTTTTAATTTCTAGGATATGCAGATCTTCTCACTACGCTTTCCTTCAGCACGTGGAAATCAGCACTTAAAATGTCAATAACTAACAATTCATTGGTGCCGACGGGGAGCAAACCTGAGTTGCTTACATAATGCGAAATTTATTTTAAAACAATTGTGGTATTAATACTATTATAGTTCGATGTTTAAAACGAGCGCTTTGTCCTGAGCTACAACGGCGGCCCCAAAAATGTTTACATATTACGTATAATCACAGAAATCTGAATAATATTGTCTTATTATTACGATTTCTGTGCGTATAATCTATTCAAACGTTTTACAGTGTTATGAACCCCACACACGGTCAGTTCAACTGATCATTCCAACTGATCAGTTCAAACTAAAACTGTTGATATTTTTTTTAAATATTGGAGTATCGATGTATCGATCATTATAAATATAATAATATCGGAGTTTTACATATAAGTTTATTTAGGGATATATCGAAAATCCGACATTTTAAAAAATATCAACAGTTTTAGTTTGAACTGATCAGTTGGAATGATCAGTTTAACTGACCGTGTGTGGCCACCATTACAGTTACCAAGAAACCAGATAAATAGACTAGGAAAGTCTCATTTAGCATCAACCACAAAACCGCTACACCGTATACTTATCAGATTACAATACTTTTAAATATACTACAAACTGTTAATGATTAGAGAAAGTTTGTTGGGAAATGATAAAATTAATCACAGACACGATACAAGACAGCATGTCATAGAAAGCAGATTTCTAGAAATTATGGAAGAATATCACAAAGCGTTTTACAATCTACAGTTTTTAAAAGTAAAAATGGTTACAATTATTTTAGTGACCAGTCATTTAGTAGCTAATGAAACGAAACGTTTGTTAAAATAAACACATACCGAAATTAAAACTAACGTATTAAATCGAAATTGATATTGAGATTAAAGGTACACGTTTTAAAACCAAGAGTACACCACATTGGAAATGTCAGTGTCAAATTGTACGTAGTAACTACCTCAACCAACAAGAGAGTTATAACTAGGACCGAAAAAATTAAGGCCATCACTTCGCTAATATCACTTAATTCATGTATTGAACTGCTATTTGTCGCGAACGAAGAGGCAATGTCTGTCACAAACTGTAAATTATTTGATGTACAGAGCACCTTTAAAAAACATCGTATGCTGCATTGTCTCAGAGACAAACAATGGTGTTTTAACAATCAAGTTTGTATTGAAACAAACACTGTGATTGGTCTCTCCGGGAAAAACGACAAACGTTCACATTGAAACAATATACATATTTCATGTATTTTCGTCATTTATTTATTGACATTGAGCGTAAAATAGAAAACAGGCAAATAGTAATCGGAGACCCTTTTCTATCATCCTCATCATCATTACAGCTCTTTACAACAAGATAGGTGGCTCAGGTCTGTGTTTGTGGCATTCCTTGGGGGAGGGCTATGTTCAATAGTAAACCCTTTTTTATGCTAACGAGGAATTATATTTTAATTCTCAGTAGTGACAAGGCATCTAGGGCTCTATTTGTATCGAATATATTCTAAATCGAAGATAGAAAAACTTAGAAGTGTATGGGCCATAGCATCAACCTATCATCCGGTATACTATGTGCTCATTAGGGTGACAAACGAAAAAATTCACAATATGGTCCCGTATCAAGAAGCCCTGGGATTAAGTAAAAATAAACTGCGTATTCTGGCAAGACTTCTGGCTGGACACTGTTGTCTAAAAAGCACTTGTCCATCCTGGGACTAAGCAACTCACGATGTGCAGATTCTGTTTCATAACGGTAAAACCTCACCTCTGCACATCCTAACTGATTGTGGTACCTTAAAGTGCAAACGTAACACTCTTCTAGGAAACTATGTACTTAGCCTATAAGAAGTGAAATTGCTAACAGCTAAGAAATTTCCTCAATTCATTGAAGACATAGGGATTAGCAGTGAACTGTACCCGATCATAGTAGATTTTCCAAGTCGCAGTGATATTGGTATTTCTAGAGCTACGTAGCCTCCTTACACAAAATAACTCCGTAACTAAATAATTAAGTGTATTTCTGTGCAACTAATCATGTTATGTTTTTGACAATTATTTTCTATTTTTTTTTAAATCTTATCTCAATTATCTCACTTAATCTGAACCAGCGTAAAATAGCAGCTTAATACTGCTGTGTTTCGTATGATGAGTGTAGAGAACTTTTTTTTATATAGAAGAGGGGGCAAACGAGCATGCGGCTCACCCGATTTTAAGTGACTACCGCCAAAGATCAAAGAGAGATCCGGAGACCTTTTCTTACTGTAAACGAGGCATTCCATCTTATTCCTCAGAGGTGACAACACATCTACGTTTTGATTCTTAATCGAGGATATATGTAGATTTCTATGGGCCACAGCATCCACTTATCATCGCGGGACTGTTTGCTCTATTGTCACCTTTATTCTAAAAAAAATGCAACAGAGCAGTATTATTCTATTGTTT